GAGCTGTGGTGTCAGAGTAAGTTTGTGCTGAGTAGATTTAAGTCAAGAAGAAGCGATCTCAAGTAAAGGAGAAAGCATGGACACTAACGTTTAAGAAAAGTAGYGAAACCAAGAAGAAAAAGTATTTTCCTAATTCCTTACTTGGTACTCAGCCAACGAGGTAATTTGTCTGTTTTTGTGTTATAGAAGTAGTTTTATTCTACGATTGTCTTTATTTTAAACAAGCTAATTGTTGTCTTGTCTGTTTTAGTTTTCACGGTGTGTGTATTGAGTCTGTACCAAGATGGATTCAATAAAACCATCAGTAGAGAAAGCCACTTGTGTCTGTCGGTACCTGGAGGAATTACAGATGTTATGTTTCATTCTCTCTCACAGCTGAAATATGAGCTGAAAAGTGCTTATTTCAGAAGTTTATTGTGCTCAAATGACCCCTTTTAGGACAGATATGTTAAAGGTTCTCTTCAAGTTTAGTAAGCATTACTTTAAAAATAAAATTTCTGTTTTTTTTCCTCAATGTTGTAAATAATGGAATTGACCTGTCAAATGATACTGAGATTCCTAAGATGGTGATGTTCTCCTTATTTAACCTGTAAAAAACTTGGTGCTTGTTTGTAACTAACCCAAACGTGTGTTTATTTTCKTTCACCAGTCTGAACAGGACCTCCTCATGGGACTTCCTGAAATGGTGAATATTATTCTTGTTATTGTCTTTTTAATATGATGTTTACTTAAAGTATTGTTCAGATTCAAGTCCCTCTGCTCCAAAGTATTCCTGCACATATGGAGGGACGGCTGTTCGTCCACACGAAGCCTCCCACATTTGGTGCAGAGCTCTGTGAGCACTCACCCTCATGCTCCCATTTGTTCTGATTTATAATGAACGTGTGTAGCTTGAGCTGCAGGCCAGCTATGACGAGGTGGTGCAGGAGCTGCGTGGGCTGGAGGTCGAGCGAGAGACTCTGTTGTTCCAGGTGGACGTCCTGCAGGACACTCTGGAGGGTGTAGAGGAGCTGCTGGCTGAAGCCCAGAGGGAAGCTGGAAAAGCTAGTTTGGTATGCAGAGTCCTCACCAACACCAAAAAACAAATCAAAACAAACAAACAAAACAAAACAAAAAAAAAACTTGCCTTTCAAACAGCTGAGTTCTCAGCCTTTATTTTATGAGCTTGTGGTTCTTAATGGCACAAAAACAAGCCCCTGGTGATGTTGGCTTCTGTTTATTTCTAGGAGCTGGAACAAGAGAGAGACGCCAGGAGGAAACTGGAGAGCCTGGTGAGCTCTCTGCTGCAGGAAGTGGAGAGAATAAAGGAGGTAAAGTGGGAACTGAAAGGAGAACTATAACAGAATTACTGCATATAACAAGTACAGATTTATGAACTCTGTTGTTTTTCTGTGTATGTTTATGGTGGGAAAAAAACACGTGAATTGTTTTATGTTGGATGATTGAAAACAATATGATGTTTTTATTAAAAGTGTCCAGAGTTCAGAGTGACAGAATGGAAATATTACAGGAAAGAGAAGTAAATTCTATTACTTCCCTTTAAATTCTGTGAGAGAAAATGAGTCTGTTGTAGGTTTGAATTTAAGATTGTGTTTGGAGGTAGTTTATGGTGGAATCCAACCCTCTGGCTGGCTTGTAACTGTTAGGTTAATCTTTTACTTACGATTTACTGTAATGTTGCAGAAAATCCCTGTTTACTAAAAAAAGATATATAGCCTCAACTTTAGTAGGAACGTTGTTGACAATGAAATCTGATCTTGTACAAATTGGTTACAAATTATTTAGTAATTAACATTTTGATCTAGGGCTGGGCAGTATGACCTCAAATTCATATCATGGTATAAATTGAACCCCTTCACGGTAACGGTATATATGGCGGTAGAAAATTATCATAAAAAGTAAAGATAATGTAATTTTTAGTTTGTTTTTTTTTTCAGAAAAATAATCTTAATCAAACCCAGCATTTTTGCTTTAATATCTGCCTCCCATACATTGAGCTTCTGCCTGCTGAACTTATCAGCTGCTGCTCTTCTGCGCTCTCATCTTCATCATCTTCGTCATCAGAGCAGACTGTTACATTAACAAGATGGATTTACGACTGMACGAACGTCCACGTCTTTTTTTAGTATCTCTGTGGGTAACAATACATAAAAAACAAGTTTTTTTTCTCCGACAACTTGGGTGTGGAAAACTACAGTTGTTAAAGCTTCGCTCTGCGGGACGTGCAGCGAGAGGAGAGGAGAGGAGAGGAGAGGGAGGAAATGATCCCGCGACACGACGTAACTTTTCTGCAGCAGGAGGAGGGAAGTTTGAGGATTTATTCTCTGTATACATGTTTTAAAACGCTATAATTTCTTCATTATATTTCAAACTCCTGCTCAGTTGTCTCTGCACTCGCAGCCCTGTTCACACAGGTGTGATGAAGTAATGACGACAGGACGGTAGAGGGTAAATTTCTACCGCATATACTGCCCAGCTCTATTTCGACCCATATTAAATTTAATATGCCAACAAAAAAACAACCCTAATTATAAAAGTAGCATTTCATTAAAGAATACATATTGCCTCCAGCCTTGTTGGCCAAAGTTTTGAACATAGATGTTGTGCAAGCTGTTAGTACTCAGAATATGTGTTGAGGATGACTCTCAGCTACTACCACACCCGATTTGAGCTCAATAGCTGTAAAATAGGCAGAGTTATAATTATTTTTGGGTTGGCTAAGGTTGATTAGCTGCGGCAACTAGCTTGACTTTAAAAGTAAAACAGCTGTAATTGTTCATCCTGTGATTATTTCCTAAAAGTTTATTAAAATGTATTTAGTGATTCATGAGATTTGTTTTGGCCACCAAACAAAAACACAAAGTCAGTTACATATTAGGATGTTTTCATCAGTAGAAAGCGCAGCATTTCTTCAGTTTTTATATTTAACTTCACAGGAAAAGAATAACAAGCCCCCTGCTTCAGTGGACGCGACGGATGACGCAACAAGAGGAGAGGCGATGAATCATGTTGCCTCGGCGGTGATTAAAGGTGCAGACAGAGAAGAAAAGGACTCCTCGCCGTGTGGAAACAACAGCAAAGAGCAGGAAGTGTCAGCCAGAGGAGGACCAGATGAAGAAGGCATCCTGACGAAGCTGCGGAGGATGGTCAATCAGCCGTTGATCCCGTCTCTTGCTCTGGATAACCCGGTCTCCACCGATGGAGTCCTGCGGAGACCGTACAAAACCGATGCGGAGGAGGGCCGCGATCTTTCCCCGGACAGAAACGACTCGGACAAAAGTGCCTACGAGGACGCCTCCGCTGAGACTCCAGAGCAGGAGAAGATGTTTCCAGGCGACGGAGAGCTGCCTCACGATTCAGACAGCAAAGAGAACGGAGAGGCTAACAGCGAGAGCCAGGAGTCCAGGAACCCCGAGGGCTGCGTTTTGTCTTAATTCTCACAGGTTGGCAAAGTTTGTCAGCAATCTGGTACAGATTAGAGCTTTTGACTTTATTTTCAGTTGCCATTTCAAATAAAATTTTGTTTTAGTCACTTTAAGGTAAATTGCCAAACATTTGTTAGTTTCAGCTTTTCACAGGTGTTTGCTTCCATAAGATATATTTCTAGATCTGCTCTGAAATCATTTTAAATACAGCTTTTTGTAAGTAATGATTATTATTTAGGGGATTTCATGGATGTTTTTATAACCAAAATAATAGGAAAAATTCCCAACAAAGAAGCTCAGGTTTGATTTTTATTAAATTTTATACATTACTTTTTGTTTGGGGCAAGCATCGAATTTTATTTTTATTTTATTTTTTTAGTTTGTAATAACTTTAATTTTACATTTTTACACAGGGACAAAGGAGGGAAATTACATCTCAGTTTTGGTTTGATCCAAATCAAGATTCATCTGTATCCAAAATCCATTGAGCTCTGTARGAAAACAGAAAAGGGATTTGGTGTCCACATTTTTGTTTCACTCCAAAACACAGATTTGTTTACCTGAAATCAGGTTTGTGTCGTATTTGACACGATGACTGGGGTTCGTCTCTTTTCTCCACATATCTAAACCTGTTCATACACTTCATTTGACTTGTTTTGCTCAGATGTTTTGAGGAAATTTAAGTGTTTGCACTTTTTAAGGCTCTAACATGTTTATCAGATTACAGAAGCAACATTCCTTCAACCAGCTGTGTCACTGAGAAACAGTCAGCTGCATGTTCGGCTGTGTGTTTGCACATTTTTTATGTCTTCACGTGGAATTTGTCACTTTGGGTGTCTGCTGTAAACATTTTGTATTTTTTTTTTCACACTTTTCCTTCTGCACTGAAAGCAGCTGGAAAGCCTTTCACCTCGGTTGTGATTCTTTGCATGATCACATTGTTTTATAAACTTTAAAAAAAGGTTGATTTGTGTCATATATTTGTAATTTTGCACGCAGTACTTTCACGTATTTAATCCAACCTATATGTCATTTATTGCAAAACCGATGCCTTTAAATGGGGAATTCTTTTTTATCATTTTTTATTTCCCTGTTTTTTGTTTTAGTTTTTGTCACAAGCACTTCAAACATTTCTAAAACATTAACTGCTTCTATTAGAAATGATTACCATAATTATATAGAAACTTGAATGTCTGTAGAACGTCTGCAGCTGCTTTTATTGTGTTTTGAAGCAGCTTGAGAAAAAGTTTTGCCTTTATCACACATTCCTGTTTCACCTACTGCTGGTTCCCGTGCTAATACTTGACTGTTTATTGTGTTTGCTGMCAAAATATCACCATCGGCTCGGATGCCTTGTTGTTTTTCCTCTAGAAAAACAAGCGTAGTGTCGTCTGGGGTCGGTGTTTAAACAATCTTCTTGTGTCATAAATCATAAAACATGTCTCTGTTGGATGTCAATCAGGTCAAAAAGGATTTTGTTTATCCTGTAAAAAACCCTTTAAAATGTTACAAGAACGGTCAGCAGTTGGTTTTTAAATGTATCACCTGATCAGGTGGGTAGTTTTTTTTTTTTTTTTGAAAACTCTTAAAACGATACATTTTTTTTATTCGATTTCTTTTGTGAGTGATCATTTCTGTCTTTTTCTAAGCTTTGATATGTTTGGCTGTAAACGTTGAGGAAGACTTCTATTGGAATAAAAAGGGACAAATAAATGCAGGTGTTAGTTTGTCATTTTCTATTCAAAGGAAGTGAGGAAACACAAAAAAATGTCTTCCACGAGCAGCTTTATTGGACAAAAACAAGTTTGCTGCGGTGAATTTTAATCACATAGAAACTACTTCATAGACTGATGATTTCAAACGAAGCAGTTCAGAAAAAGCTCAACATGTAGCAGAGTTTGTCCACCAGATGGCAAAATATACTATTATTTAAAGAAAAATCCCCTTGAATAGATTTGAGTTGAAACAGGCTGCTTTAGTTGAACACTGGTTCCTAACAGCCTGTAAGTCTTCAGTAAAATAAAATATTTAATATCACCTGAGATGATTTTATACATCCCAACAGCATTCAGAAAATAGTGGGCCTGACATTCAAGATCACTCATTATTAGGAAATAAACTGAAAATTTTTAGGGCGAGTTGCGAAAAAAGTAAAATCAAAAAGCAACAATGTGACTCCTCAACAAAAACAGCTGAGTTCTGACAGAGCAAGGGTTAAAACAGGCCTTTTTCCTTCTTTAGCTTCAGTTGTTTCCACTGRGGCAGGCCCACAAAGTCGTCTTTGGAGACCCCGAATATGGAGAGAAAATCCGAGTCACTGAGGTGTTTCTGGAAAGAAAAAAAGTCACAAAAATTAGTGAGCGAAAACGCTTCTGACTGCATTCTGAAAACAATAATGTTTACAAGAAGAAAATGATCAAAGCCATTGCTTTTAGAAAAAAATAGCTTCTATTTTTCTAAAAGGGACTGTTCAGATCATTTGTTGTGGGATTTTGTAGCAAAAGTTCTGATTAGGTAAYAAGTGTCTTACCTGTTTTACTCTGACCAGATTAACCCACTGACCACAGTCCAAACTGGGCTGAGATTAAAGTGGACTACTGCCGTTTAAATATGACCCCAAACTTACAAAACAATTGTAGTAATATTAAGATATAAGATATAATATGATATGTTAAATAAATATATAGAATAGAAACAAATTATATTTACATAGATACATACATGCACCTTTTCATAATTATACTCAGAATTAGTCTTTTTCCAAACTCAGACTGTTTAGAGTTACCTACATCATGTAAGATATTTATTCATAATTTTTGAAAATAACCTATAAGTCAAAATATTGAAACAATCACAATAATGACTGAACCAAATCAGTACAAAATAATTTTGTCTGGTTTCCTTTATTCTTTGCAACCTTTCCATTCAGATGTTGATTCAAGGATCACTGAATAATTTGATGTGCTGTTAACTCACGTTCAGTGGAGTTCACCCTTATCATGTTTCTGTAATAGTTTCACAGACTTTAGATGCACAGTGATGCTGGTTTAACAGCCTGTGGTCACCGACTGCAGGTCTCTTTTCTTTAATAAACACACATGAACACACACCTCCTTCACGCCGGGGTCCACACCTTCAGGAAGCTCGTTGGCTTGCTTTCCAATCAATAAGTCTGGTGGAAATAGTTGAAAGCTTTTTTCCTTTTCAGCAGAGCTCTCCTCCTGGAAAATTACATTAAGGAAACAAAGATACTTGGTGTGTGCAGCATTAATAATTGAATTCAGCACATCAGCATCACTCAAAGAAACACACGAAGTTTCAGGTTATAGGGAACAAATACAGATTATTTTTTTAAATTATTCTTAACTTTTGTTCCTGATATTTACAGTTAMAATAATTCTCCTGCCAAAACAAGTAGGATTGTTGTTTTTTTCTTCTGAAAAGTTTTAAAAGACAATAATGTTAAATAAGTAACTATTGCTTTTTTTAACTTGTTGTCATTAATGTTAAAAATATGTGAGCAATAGTTAGCAAAGCTATACTTTTCAGTTTTGATATGTAGTTTAACACTTTTTGCATTCAAGCACAGAAGGAAAAACTAAAATATTACTTCTCTTTAAAAAGGTTTCTAAATAACGTACAGCTTTAACAATAATAGGTGCTGCTTCTTCTGCCAGCTCCTTCTTCAGCTCTTCATAGCTTTTTCCTTCCTGAAATWAAAAAAGCTTTTAGATTTTTCATCTGTTGAATACTTTTCAATTAGCAATTTGAAAACCCAGAACTCACACTCCATTTGGAAGGATCCCAGGCAGTAAACCAGCCTGTGAACGTGGGCGGCTCRAAGCCCTGCTTGATCAGGATGATGGGCGTGTCTGGGTCTCTGTTTCCTGGGTGGGTGCGCAGGTACTCTTGGCTTGTGGTCACTGCCTCTTTACGCTCCACCTCATTGGCCTCCTTACCAATCCACAGAAACAACTACAGCAGATGATTACAGGGGGAAAAAAAGGATTCATGGTGGGCACACACATAAACAAAAGCTATCATCTGTGTTTWTCCGTTCACTTCCTCCTACCTGGTCCCATGTATCCAGCAGCATGACATCATCCTCGCTGAGGTCATCCTGAGTGAACTGAGTTATCTCACTCACTATGAAACGACCCGTCTTGTTGGAGCATTCGAACAGGCGTGGCTGGTGRTCTACAACCACCTGCTGCAACCTGCAGGAAACAAGGCTCAACTCACAATACTGCAAATGTAGTTCCTCTGCTGGAGTGCACCTGAATATTGGGTATTGTTACTATTTTCAACACAGATTACCTCTTATCATTTGCRTAAGGTGTTTTCCCTCCAAGTAATTCCCAGAATTCAACAGGCTCCTGACCCTCTGCCACGATCTCCTCAAAAGCTCTCTGCAAGCCCTGACCAATCACAGCGCTCACCTCTTTGGCCATGGCTCGCTCATCCCCACTCGATCCCTAATTTAACAATAACAAATCAGTTTATTGATGCAAAAGTCTAATTTCTTTACACTTTGCTTCTGAGGACTCTGAGTATAAAAGTCATCTTRATGAAAAGTTTTTTCATTTATTTAATTTTTGCCTTTTGTTCATTTTCTGCTTAGTGTTTGTACCTGCTCATGACATAATGTGAAGTGAGCTGTTAAAAAATAAAAAATGTTGACAAAAAGAGGACAACAGAAGAAGTGTCAGACCTAAAAAAAATAACCATGACTCTTGAACGATGTCTGAAAGTCATGTCTTTAAGAAAACCATCAGAAACCTGAGACAGGACCTGAAAGATTCATCGTCTTTCGATTGATCATTGATTGTATGACAATATTTACAATAAGAGTGTCTTTCAGATTGTGTTATCTTTAGTATTTAAATGGGAACAAATTGTGTACTTGTGACAAGCTGCTTGTATTACTGCCTAGTAAGTATTTTAGCCAGTTACTAAAGACCCAAACTAAAATTATTTTTGTTGACCGCCATGTGTCTATATATAACTGATCCAACCCTCGAATTTTAGAGCTATTTTATGCCTGAATGAGTCAAAGGGTCAGAGTTAAGAGGCCTTCACAATAAACACTAAACTATTTGAAATGATCAGGTACTGGGTTGAAAATGAGTGAGAGTCCAAACACTAAAGAGTTTGGCTCATTTGACTCAAGATATAATAAACAAATAGGTGCTCAAGATTTTTGCACAGCATTATATAGGGAAAAGTTATTCTAGATCCTAGAGTACAAACACAAACCAAAAAGAAAAACAGGCCAAAAATAATTTTCAACATTATAATGAACATATTGTGTTTTGGATCGGCCTCTCTTACCTTTCCACACCACAGATAAATCCCTGACTGGCTGTTGAGCAGAAACACGTCGTTGGAGTTCAGAGAGGAGGCCAGAGCTGGAACCTCGATGGTTTTTGTATTAAATGAGTCAAAACCTCGAACTTGAAACAATCTTATTGGAGGTGGAGGTTCAGAGGAGCCTTTTCTAGAGGTGCCCCCCTAATTAACAAAAAAAACAAAAGAGAGAAACGTGTTGGGCACTAGTTTGGTGTCTGAAATCAGATTGTTTCATTAAATGATTAAAAACGCAGCCATGGTCTCACTTCGAAGATAACCATTTTTCCCTTGAAAATGGCCATGAAGTGTCTTGGTTCCTTCCCCATYGTTACTCTCACTTGAACTGGCTCATCGTTGTACTTTTGATCCAAGGTCACAGCCTGAAACGCCGAAGCAGCCAGTTCATCCTGAGTGGCATGACGCCCCTTTAATGATAACAAATAAAGTATGTTAATTCCAGAACCACAATAAAACATCTTTATGTTTCAGCAATAATCAGCGTCCTCACCTGCCATATGTAGAGGAGATAGCATTTCTTATTGTTCACCAGGTACGTATAAAGGATCAGGTAGCAGTCTCCTCCATAGAAGTATCCATAGGTCTCTGGGTCCACTGGGACCAGTTCCAGATCCTCAATCCTCCACACCTGGAAACATCAAGACTGGATTCACTCTGAACCAAGACATTTGCATTTTCTGCAAAATGCAAATGCTGAGGGCAAAGTATCTGATGAAATTTAGTGATGAAGCTGAAACTGAATAATAAATCTAAAACTAGAAGCAAAACAACAGCTGAAAGTTACAAATAGTAAAACACTAAAAGGATGAAGTAAGCAAAATGCTAGATACAGATTAAAAGTGAAGGCTCACTAAAGCCTAAAAGAAGCTAAAAACAGCAAAAAGTTCAGTAAAAATAGCAAAAGACTAAAAGTAAATGAAAAGTATTTTATAATTATTATTATTATTATTATTATTATTATTATTATTATTTAAATTGAAGCTCCAAGATCTGGTTTATGTGTGTCATGCAATAATTTTGGATCCAGAGTCTGAGCACTATAGGTGAGGTTTTATGTCACGCTTCCTCCTCTGCACGGTGTCTCATTTAAGCATGAAATAATTACCCATAGCTAAGCATATTAGAAAAATAAATATCTGAAATTATAGCAGTAAGATAAGAACTTAGGTAACCAAGAGTCAATGCCTGTAAAAAGAGGATTTTTTTCTTCAAATTTTAACTAATAGTGCTGTTTGTATTACATGGGAGCTGGGGGACCAAGAACTTGTATTGGAACCAGGCTTTGGGGATGCTGGCCCCATTCCAGCTTCAATTTCCCAAAGATTATCTAGTTTTCTTTAACAGACAGTGGTAGATGAGAAAAAGCAGAATTTCAAACAAATTATATGCTACACCACTATATGGTTGTACTAACATTAACATACAAACACTAAATAAAAAAACTATTAGGAGCGTGGCTAAAAATCCCCAAACCATAAAACCCTTGAAGTAATTATGGCTAAAGCTTAAAAAAACTGTTTCCTCACACACTGTTAATGTTTTAGCTCTATCCTGAGAACTGCAGGTTTGTTCAGTGAATGTTTATATGATTTTTATGTTGCCATGTGGGGTGACAATGTTAGCCATGTAGAAAGCAAAGCTTAGGATTGAAACAACAATCTCTTGTAGAAATGTTTTCTCTTTAATCAAAAGCTCTGACTACAGAAAACAATGACACCTAATAGTTTGCTCCTCTTGGCAGAGTTGTGAGCTCAAGTAATGTCCTGAATGTAATTTTCCAGATGACAGAATCAGCCTTCTTATTGAGATGCATTGTTGACGACTGGTGTACCTCCACTTGACCTGTCCCGTTGTCCACCATCCTCTCCTGAGCAGCAACCTCTGGCATTGTGTGCATCAGCGAGGCATCAAATTTCTCCTGTGTGATGTGAGCTTAAACAAACACCAGAAAAAATAATTACAAAGTAATTAACTATTACTGTAAAGTTTATCTGTTTAAACATTAAATATCTTGTCTTTATCGTCCTGTATTCAACTGAATATAGGTTGAAATAGGCAAACTACTGTATCGTATTCTTTTTTATGTATGTTTTACATAACGTCCCAACTTCATTGGTATTGGGGTCGTAAAAAATCACAAGCCACCGATTGTTACTAAAAGAAGAGTTTGCCATATTTATTCGTGTATAATACAATCTCATGTATAATACGACCCTGCCTCCTTTTTTGAGCTTAAAAAGCATAAAAAAAATTTAATCCTCAAACTATCTCCAGTTTCATACAGACTTCAAGATTTTTCAGTCTTTGCAATCTTTATACATATCAGTAAAATGATTATTGGACTGTTCCTTTTATTTTAACATGTGTCATTTGATGCGCCAACACAAAAGTCAGACACTTCACATGAGATTTGGGCCATCTTCTGGCGCAAAAGCAGATTACTTCCTACCCGCGAGCATTCCCTCTGATGGGGAAACTTTTTTCAGGGATACAAACTTTTTCAGAACACTGGTAGACAGCAGCCATTACAGACGAACATGTGTTTGTTGTCGTTCGAGGAGCAGCCCGGTTACATGCTRATGTCATTAGTTTGCTATCATTACTAAGGTGCAGGACTGCTTTCCACCCTTTTTTTCACATCATGTTGCCTGCCTGGATCTGTTATTATCTCGCTCTGAAGCACGGAGGAGTGTCTGAGGTACGCTCGTTTCAACTGCTTTTTACTACACGGTCTCATTTCTGGACTCAAGCATTTTGTGAATGAAGCCGATACTTCAGTTAAAATACAAAAGTAAAAATATTTATCCGAGTATAGTACTACCCCCCAACTTTATGGATGATTTTATGGATTTAATTTTACGTATTATACTTGAATAAATACGGTATGTCTTTTCTTTCCCCCACTTACCAATTTTCCCTCTGGTGTTTGCTTTTCCTAGGCCTTGAGTTTGATCCTTTAYGGTCCACTTCTGGAAGAGCTGCCTGAAGACAGCTGACTCTGCCCCATCATTCACTGTCTCTACGTTGGTGGTCATGGGGTAGTTTTTGGCTTTGATGAAGTCCTGTAGCAGCCCAAACAGCGACAACACCAGAACTGAAACACCAGATCAGTCAAACAAAAGCCAAAGGTGTTGTGTGACTCACCAAAGCTCTGGACATGGCAGCCTGTCTTTCAGCTTTGTTTGCTTTCTTCCCCTTCCAAACAAAAATCTTCAGCCCACCTTGGTCCAGAATATAGCAGTCCTAAAGTCATAATTGGGTCAGAGTACAATACTTTCTTGAGTTTCTTAAATTTGCTTGAATCACAATAGAAGTTTGCAGAGATTGAAGTGAATTGTTGAGCGTTGCTCTGACTCACATCATGGTTGAGAAGATCCTGAACCAGAGGTCGTGTTGCGACCTCTGCAACCTTCATCTGACCGCCTTCATCGGACACACTGAGATTAAAGGTACAAACATGTAAACAAAACAAAACCGGGTTTAGGAGAAGCTCATGCCACCGATGAGGCGCAGGCTCACCAGTAAAGCGTGAGGTTAGCCTTCACTTCCTGGTCGACGACTTCATCCGGCTGCCCCTCTGTCAGGTTGGAGGTTCTTGCACCGAGAACACTGTTCATGAGCTCCATGTTCTGAGAAGAGCCGCTCTCATCGTTTCCCTCTATCACTCTGATCTCTGCTCGGCCTCCTCGCTCACGGTCCCGGATGTCCTTGGACAGCAACATGGCCTGTGATGGAGAGCACACAATAAAAGGTCAAATGTTAACATGTTGCGTTAGTGCCAAGACTGTTTTCATGACATGTTGAATTCAGTTCTAATCGATTGTTAATTGATTCTCCATTAACTGTTACATCCCCTAGTTTTAACACAGTGAACATTTTTCATGGTTCCAACTTTTTAACATTTATCTTAATAGTTTGTGACAGTTTTCACAATTAGCAAAAACTTGGTGTGGTAGTAGTTGTCCCCGACACATGTTTTGAGCCCTACACATTACACATCATATTTGTTTGAAATTGTTGCATTAACTTTTGGAATCCACCAAGTCTATTAGTTAATAAAATATCTCTTGAACTGCGGTACAAACTTCACTGAAACTCTCAATAAGGACTCCTTGGGTGTACGTCTACAACTGAACAACATTTTGAGTCAACTCATTTCAAGACGGATGGCACAGATAATTGACCCGGGCAAATTTGCAGATTTCAAAATAAAATCTGATGCAATTACAACTTTGAGCACTAACTGATCCTGCAATAAAAGTAACAAGATTGCATGTAACACACTTTGACCAAGATAAGATCATTTGATAAGTTTTCCAGCAGATTTCCCTGCAGGAAATGAGCTATCTCTGAGCAAAGAAAAGGTGTCATCTTACAGCTCTGAACCTGATATTTGCTTATTGAACATTGAGAATGTGTGTCAATGTGTTTAAGTAAGCAGGTATCTGAGGTTATTACTGTGATTTGTTAAAGCAAAGCCTATGAAAGAGCATCAAGTCTTTGATTTAAGCTGAACCATTAATGACACAGACTCCTGTAGTCTCCTTACTTTAAGCCGTTCCTGTTTGTTGCTCTTTGGCCCGTTCCACTGCACGATGGTCTTTCCGAGGTCTAACAGGAAAACGTCACCAAGGTTGAAGCTGTTCCAGCTCATCTCCACCTAAAACACAGCAAAACATAAAGAACTCTTTCTACACGAAGCCTCTGTCCCATGATGTCATGAACAATTATGGAAATTTGGCTCACCTCTTTGGCGACGACTCTTTTATTCCCCTTCACGTGAAGCAGCCTCTGTATGTTGTAGGAGTTGGTTTCAGTGTGCCTCATGCCTGTTGCAACGCCACCTGCCTTATATCTGAACAAAACAAAATGATTATCAGCATGATTTATTTCATTTTTTCCCAACATGGCACCATTGTTATTTTATTATTTTTTTTACTCACATTATTCCCTGTTTGAAGTAGCCCCTGAAAATATCGGACTCATAGTTCTGAACCTCTCTGTACTGGATCGGAGAGGAGCCTAAGAAGTCATCGAGCTGAACGGTGTAAACAGCAGCTGCTCCTTGTTCATCCTGAGAGGACTCTGAACCAATCCAGTAGTGGATGTTATAGCTCAAAGCAGATTTCAGCTTCTGCGTCTGCCGACATTCAGAACAATGCCGTTTAAAGAACTTTGATTTATTTTTTATTGTCTAAAGTAAAATAGCAGGGTGTCTCATTGGACAAAAAAGCTTCACAGACTTACAAACAGAACTATATAGCAGTCGCCCTCATAAAAGTTGCCATTGGATTTCTCAGGAACTTGAACCAGCTCCATTTTCTGTTGCACAGAGACAAGAAAGTGACATTTTTACTTTCAGGTTTACCGTCGTTCTTTTAAACAACGTAGTTTATCGAATAAAACTGTAAATATTGTGAAAAGTTAAATCAAATTACCTCAATTCTCCAGATTATAATCCCGGGGCTGCGAGTCACAGCTCTGAATGTGTTCTCCATATTGCCTCGATGCAATCTGATTTATTTAGCGACACCTTTGTTCTTTCTTTTTTCACAGAATTAAAAAAAGATTTGTTATAAAATTATCACAGATTTTAGTGTGTTGATCTCACAAAAGTCCCCACCTCCTTTGTCTCAACAAACAAATCAATAATTCACTTAAATAAAAGCCTCACATTTCATATAATTTCAAACCTCACCTACCAGGTAAGCTCATCTGAGGGGCTCATATGATCGTCCAGCAGCTGATTTCCTGTCTGATAAACAAGAGACCCACAGTTCTCATCCAGACGGCCCTCCTAAAGAAATTTGCCTGCCTTTTTGCATTTTCAGGACCTGTCATGATGTTTTGCCCAATCATGGAGGCAGATTTGAAATCCTGTAGGCAAATGTGCAGCAAAAGGAAAAGGCATTGACTCATATTCAAATACACACACACACACACATTGTAACACAGATCACTTTTCATCATCATACAACCACATTTACATCAGATACGCTGTAAAATATGATCAGTATATACTCAGATATAAACTGCTCCGCTGTTTTAAACCCACATTAAGATCTGTGGCTATTTTGAGTAAAGCAATAATAATTAGTCGTATGAGTGATTTGTAGTATTATAGAAATAATACTTATAGGTTTAAACCAGTAATTCATGACATACTTTAATGACCTAAGTTTTTATGACATGCTGCTTATACACAAATAGAATGATTGAAGTCAGAACAAGATTTGCTGACAACAATCATAGATGTCACTTGTATTTATCTTTGTGTTTTCCTTGACCCAGCATTTCCTTAGGATGAAATCTTGATTTATTAAGATGACATAATAGTGTTTGTTAAACAGTRTATATGAGGCCTCAACTGCCTCAAAGAAGCAGGAGCAGAAGCAGAAAGCAGGGGGACAGTCTGGTGGCTCAACAGTATGTTGTTTCACTGTGTTCCTGTTGTTGCAAATAAAACTCAGCTGATCATCTCATGGAGTACCTTCATTCTTGGACCACATATTTCTGTCTTTGTTAAATAAATATTTCCACGACAATTTGGCGTTGACGAACAGGATCTACGCTGGAAATCCACGGGCCGAGACCAGAAGACTTCCCTCTGATGATCCTCGGGACTAAACATTTTCTGAGTGAATGAGGAGCTGCTGGTCTGGACTAAGACAATGGGCCTCATGCAAGAACCGTTCATACACACAGATTTGTTCTTAAGTTGTGCGTACGAGTGATTTAGGAGAATTTGTGGCATTCACCA